TCAAACAGGTGGCGCCTTGTACATCAGATACAGCAGTCGTACTTAATGAAAACTTATAGCACATAATGAGGCCACTCCGACGTTCGGGGATCCTGCAGTAATGTTAAGGACATAAAATGCTAGCAATAACTGCCGGAGTGTCTTGATATTCTTTGTATTTTTGCATAAATATTTCTCATAACTAAAGTTGTTCTACTAAACTACGTAAGTATTACTAAAGTATATCGCGAATTTATCGTACTTTTCGACATACTATACTTTAGTTTATTTTTTACGGAAAGTTGTAAATTCCTTATGTCATTTAATAACAATCAAAAAGTAGAGAAGTAAGATACGAGGTAAGAGAATTCAATACGCAAAAGATGCAACTGATACAAATAGCACATTATGTCTGTTTCTGCAGGAGTTGACTTAAGCTGTTGTTTGAGTGACAACCATCACTGGTGGGGCGTCTATCTGTAATACTGTTATCCGTTATTTTATTAATAAATCAGCCGCCCCTAATTAGGGTTCAGGAAAAAATAGGAAAAAATCATTTTTGGTGCATTGGAAAAAAAGACTACTTTTATGTACACTCCATTTTCCCATTTGCGCTTTCCAATTTTTTTTCTGGAAAATCCACATTATACCAGTGCACCGCCATACGCGCCAAATTAGTGTTTAAATTTTTTATTCTTTTTGCACAGCAACCGATTAAAACTAGTCGCTTAATCACACTAGTGCCACTTATTTCCCTTTTCCTCTTTTTTTTCTCTCAAAATTTTTTATTTGTAAAATTCAAAAATAATTATGAGCCGGTTAGACGTTTTATGGGGCGCATGATTTGTTCCAGTATTGCAGAATTAGAATGGCTTTATCCCGAAATGTTTTGTACACTTGCTGAAATCCCACTGCTGGAAATCTTACACTTATCTGAATTTGTGAGATTTTCCCTCTGAACCAAATAAGCTGTTGTTGGAGTTAAGAAAGGGAAACATTTAATTTCTTCAAATTTAGTCCAGATTCATTCGGTCTAAATATGTACAGACAAAAATAGTTGATTTTTCAAAAGCGTAGTATAAGTACGAATTGCGTGAATATGTTAACCGCGCTATATATGTGTTAAAAATACCAACCCGGGTAGCATCGCGCACCAGGATTACCAGTACAATCGTGCTTTTTGTTTCGCGATTTCGGATGCAAGGAGATCTTTAACAATTCAGTGGACGTTGCTTTACAGTCTAGCATACGTACTCGCACTGGCAAATGTTTTTTATCTTTTACTGCATCCAGTGGGACAAGGGTGTCAGCTAGCGCTGGGACGGTGAAGTTTCATTGTGGAGCCGCCTGAAATCTTAACCTCCAGCGTGTATGGTCACCTTAAAGAGAGGTTGCCAACAGTTTTGTGCCCTCAAGTTCGCTGTTTTCATACCTGTGACATAGGAATTAGTGAGGGATGATTTTATGCCTTCAAGAATACCAATAACGCACAAAAAATGAATATTTAAGAATAAACAATCTGGTGGAGGTTGCAGAAATGCTTCCACATAATGGACGCAGCTTCATCAAGCACGTTTAAACATACATGAATGTCTCCTTCATATTTCACGCCCTGCAAGAAGAAAGGTGTTTGGAAGTACTAGGATGTAGCCATTGTACTAATACGCAGCTCATTTTACTTATAACCTAAGCAGAAGAAAATCTGGGCGACCTGGCGTACATTAATTAGTATCGTGCTGTCGTGAATCATGGAAAGGATTGATTTTTCTCGAAAACGAATGTACAAACAAGTGCTGACCTAAACTCAAAAGTGCTGCCATCTGTTACTGCATCAAAAGCTCATTTAAAGCATTTCATTGATGTTATTTCTCTTTTTAGGATACTGGTAAAAGAAGACCGATCATACGCGAGCAGAGCATTAATCGGCCAGAATCAGTTTTACAGCTCGCCCGCAAGTTTGCCGAGGCAAGCGCTGCACAGGTTTCTGCCACGCATTTTGTAAAAAGAACTTGCTAATTTATTTATAGCATTTATGAAGGAAAAAACTCAGAAATCCAGTGGGTGAAAATATCACGAAATTTTTAATAAGCACGCAAAAAATCACCAATTTTCAAAAAAATTGTAGTTTTGCAGTTATTCTTCTAATGTTTCAAATTCACCACGTAAAAAAACTGACAGTTTTCTCCCATCAAATATCAACTGATAATCAAACAGGTTTTATCAGCTTATCACCAAAAAACATCTCCGATCAATATTTCTCAGGGCTGAGGCAGTTTGAAAAAAATTATTGCTGTTCTACTGTTTTAAGCATGTGCCTTCTGTGATTTTGAGAATTGTATTTTCTTTGGTGAGGTGGAAGGAATAATACTGTCCAATAAGGAAGAGATTTGTCTCGCATGCAAACAGAACTCTTCAAAACCACGAAAAACTTCCCACGCCTTCACTTTTCTTTCCTCCCTTCCCCCCTCTTATGCCAGTTTTTACCTTCTTACTCCCTCCCTCTGAGGTCTTAAGTGTTTTCTCTAAGCCACCATTACCCTACAAAATATGAGTCAATTTTTGATCAATTATTTAAATGTTGCACTTTTCTACCCATTTTTTCCAGAATTTCAACTTCGATCATTTCCAACTTTACTAATAAATTTAAAATTATTTATTTTTTCGGTTTATTTTTCAGGATAAAAGAATCCACATATCAAATCGAAAGTTGGCAGTAAACGGAGGACAAAACCTAACGATCGCAACAACAGCAACATCTTGCAGTGGTCCAACTAGCCCAGTCGGGACAGGTAAATTACCGAAATTGCAAAAAATTCATAGTCAGTTTAAACGAAGAAACCAGATTTTAAACAGAAGCCGACTTCATTCAGATGTCTTCTCAAATCCCATTAAAATTACTAACATGCGGTACCCCCACTGATAACCCTGATACTTTTGGCTTTCTTGATTTCTTTTCTTATCATCCATCTCCCCAGGTTGCACTGAGCTTCATTTCTTGCTAAGTTTCACAAATATACCTATGATTCTGCTGATTTCCTAAAATAGGCCAACAATCTTTTGGCAATTGTAACAGCAAGAACTCAAGTAGTAGCCCGGAATATCCGGACAATAGTTTTGGAACCACTGCTTTAGTACCAATTATTTTAAAAGCTCAAAAACGAAAGACCAGGCATAGCTCTCTATGTATTTGGAAAAAGCATCCCAGTAATATCATTAGCATGAGACGGCCACAGTGATAGCCCAACCCTCGGTCCTGTTTAGAAGTTTTGAGTTTACGGAGGATGCTGCAGTGCAATGACTTTAGAAGTTTTCATGCACTTTTATTGCCCAACTATTCATGCTTTCCGTTTGTTGTCATTTCCGGAACTAGTTTACGCTTTCTAAGTTTAACGAAAAAAGAATGGGACTCAGTACCTGCTTGGCATTTGTAAGAAAATAAACCCTGTCTTGTTTTTGCACAACTCGAGACTCCGGCATTTCCATCCTTCAGACAAATGTCTGGAACCGTATGTTCCTAAAAAAAGGCTACCCACCTTTTTGTCTTTCCTTCCTACGCCGCTGGTTCGCTTATCCGAAAATTACACGAACATGGAACAAAGATCACTTTGAATGCAAATTTTTTACTTCCATATCATTAATTATCATTCACAAGGATTTTATATTCTTGCTGCCCCTTCTCTCCAGTCCTACGTCTCCTCCCTCACCAGGAAGCAAAATCTACCCCGAATTTTGTCCCTGAACAATGACCCTCAGTAGGTAAGACCACAAGATGTGATATAGTAGCAGAAAACAGCAATGCTTATCCTGTGGTACTACGATTTTAAAAGCTAAACAATGTTGATTTTCTTTTACAGGCGGCGATAATTTGGTGATATCCACAACAATCAACAAAAAACCCGGCGGTATTGCCTGTCTTTGTAAGTTACAAAATAATTGCGACTTTTTCAAAAGATTCCCGTTTATAATTTTATTGTTTCTAGCTACTCTGTTAATCAGGTTTTGCTTGCATCATCTATTACTTCAAAGCATGCCGGCGTTTCGCAAAACTTCCACAGCACCTACAGTTCCAGGATTAAATTATCCAGATACAAATGGCCATTTCGCAGTACACTTTTAATTTGTTTAAAAATGCATGAAATGATATGTTTTCCTTCAGTATTTCCTCTCGTTTGACTTTACCGTCCATAGCACCACAAACAAGTTCTTTTTTCCGCCTGGATAAGCAGTTTAGTATTGTTGCTTCCTCTCTTAACTCTTTGTTCGATTGGTATACAAGTAATGACAGCAGCATCGGCATCGCGAGAAAATAGGAGAAGGCAGGAGCCTGATTTTCCAGTAAATCCTTTATTTTCGCTCATTTCTTCTTGCAAGTTTATTTACAATTTTTGACGCCAATAAGGGTTTTTTTTTACAAAAAATTTGCTAAATGAGCCTCAAAACAACCAAAGGAAGAGGGTAAAAAAATAGAAACAAATTTTTCAGAGAAAAACAAATTTTTCCGGTCTTTAGTCTTTTTTGTGGTTGAAAAACTATTTCTCGGTTTTGTTTCCTTTGAGGTTTTTCAAACTAATTAATTAGTCCTCATCCTCATCTCTCCTCTTTCTTGTGTTTTTTTGGCTTTCTTTTTTTCTTGCAATAACGTGTCGCAAGAAAAAAAACGGCCGCACCGGCAGCACCCGAGGTGTAGCGCGCACACAACGAACAAGCATTGGAAGTATTGGAGGTAGGCAGCCGAGATCGAAGGATCTAACGTAAATGAGCCCTGCATACGAAAGTATCCCAGTAGCATCACCAATATGGAGTACCCACACTGATAACCCGAGCAATCTTGATATTCTTAGTAAAAATAAGTTTTTCAAGAAGAAGCACCTGCTATAATTTTTAGAAATGTGGAAGTACAATTTTGATAGGGAGGTAAGCAGTATTTCTCACTTGTCGCGCTTCGTTTTTATGCGTTTTTTGCAGCTATGCAATGCAGAAAACGCATCATTGACCAGAGGTTGTGTGTGTGTGTGTGCGTCTGTGTGTCTGTGTGTGCCGATTTTATTGTTTTTGTAAGTCGGTAAAACTCCCTTACTCCATCATTCTCTCCGCAATAGCCAGCGCTCGCTGTTCAGCTGTGGTTACTAATCACATTTGACATCCGTACGTCATTAACTTGGAGAGGTGGGTACAATCCTTCCGGTTTGACACTTTGAGAACATCGACGATGTTGTGAAATTTGCGCCAGCCGACAACTCTGCACTTTTTGTCAGTATAAAAAGAAGGGACAAAGATATCCCGCAGATGCTATTAAAATATCAACTTTTATTTCGTTAAAAACCAGTCAGTACAGCTGTATACATTGTTTATTAGCTGCGCATGCTGACAAGAACTGAGCAGCGTCAACAGCTGATGGATGTAACAAAAGTAGCTCGAGAGTGCTACACTCCTGAGCTCAAA